CTGTGCTTATAATGGTTCCATTTGGAGAGCCACTTGTTAAAGCTTCTCAACACGTATGGGCGATCATATGGAAGTGAAGTGTAATTATCCTAAGAATACATAGGTTCCTATGACCTTTACATAACGCGATACATGTAGGCACTGAAGTGGTAACTGACTAACAAATGCCCCCATGGGTTGGGAGACAAACGAACACTCATTAACGTCGTGTCAACGCCACACTTGGAATCCTCTCACATTTTGTTGAGCCATCAACTGAGATAGAAGTAAGCGAGCATAGAATTTTCGTTGTTCAGCTTCAGGTTGGTCTATTAACTTCAATGGGAACAATGTCCCCATGATCGTCGCAATAACCATCGCGCGAAATTATATAACTACCTAGCAGCCATTGCTGACGTGCGGAATACCAGTGAGATTATTCTCTGTCTACGTCACCATGGGCGACTATATGGAAGTGAAACCTAATGATCCTATAAATTCATAGCTTCCTATGACCTTTACGTAACGCCAAATATAGAGACACTGAAGCGACAACTGATTAACATTTCGCCTATGGGTATGGAGACCAACGAACACTCACTGACGTCGTGTCAACGCCACAATTGCAATCCTAGCATTTTTGTTGATTCATCAACTGTGATCGAATTAAGCAACCTTAGAATTGTCGTTGTTCAGCTTCAGGTTGGTTTAATCACTTCTGTGGGAACTATGTCCCCCATGATCGTTGCAATGACATTCGCACACAATTGTCTAACCGCCTACCAGCCATTGCTGTACTGTGGAATAGGAGTTAGATGGTTGCCTGTCTACGCCACCATGGTTAGGCCGCTGAATAAGCCACCATTAGGTAGCCGCCAGTGATCGCCATAGACCGCTACATGTGCTGGTTAGTATGTCTATCCACACTGGTTAAGTCTTAAGCTTTGGATAGTGTGGTAGCTAGCATCTCCTCCTTTGACAAGCATCACAATTTACCTATTGGTCGATTTCAGGTTGGAGACCGATCATCGAGGTTTACTCCAGAGGGGCATCAGGGCAGAACGGAAGGTGGTGCTCGACCACTTTCATTGGACTGTCTGTCGCGTATGCTGGCAGCTTCTAACCGAAGTCCCATTGGTTTACGTCCCATAACCAATGCGAGTGTCAAAACGCCAAATCAGCGTTCTCCGCCTCGCTAACTTGAAAGTACCGCACGCTATTTTGAAAATGAACCACGCTTAAAGCTTGGTACAATACGCTAATATGCGTGTAAAGTGGTATAGTATAATTGTTCATGCACAAAAACTAACGATTTAATGTGCACACAGGTAAGCGCGTATGCTTCTTGTGGCATGATTATAATTCACATAAGTCACAAAACTGGAAGACAAATCTATCCGGGTCACCCGTATTCTATTTATAAACTGCACATGGATTACCTCTTTGATAAATAACTGTTTCATTGATATTTACTAAAATATAACGAGAGTGCCGTCTACAAATTTTATAACATCTCGACAGATGTATTTCAAAAACCACAACATAATGTTTTCATACTTTTACAACCAGATACACTGATAATATTCTACATATCAACACTATCAATTTCACTTTCTCGGGTATACGGCAACAAGGTAATCGTTACTACTGGCTTGAGACATTCTGTACTGCACTTAACATAATCTCCGTCATGGTGTGTTTTTGCTTGAAAAAATTAGCTGTTTCCATTAGATAGAAATAGCGTCGTGGGAATCTAATCAGCACTTACACTAGGCCGCGTGAGAAATCCACCATAGGGAACCGGTAACCATGATTTAAACATCATCCAACCGCAACTAAGAGTGCAAAGTAAGGCGATAGTATTGCTAATACATTTTATCTACTTAACAGCTTTTATTAGGCGTCTAGAAGTTTATAGCATACGTTGTCAACCTGTAAAATGAGAGCTCACGTTTTTGCGTCAGTGTACCAAGGCACTATTTAGATAATTTATCATGGTTGCTCCCAATTACCCAGCTTAGGCTGGTCTACAAAAACCAGATGCCGGAGTTTATCTCATCTGGGTCTCGTCAGTGGTGCGCCTACCAGCGGACCCCTGCCGTCTACTACCATGCCAGTTACGTGCAGTGCAGAGGACAATGGCTAGCCTCACGAACTAGAGCTTTCCGCATTGAGCCCATGAACCACATAGGAATTGAAAGCTATACGGACAGGTTGTTTAGGACTGATTAGTATCAGTGAGGATTTCGGTATTATTGAGCTGGCATTTTGAAGATATTGGAGCGGAAACTGACAGGATCCACTGGGAGGAGCAATATTGCCGAGACACAGTAGGTTGAAAAGCCGGTGTCTGGGGCATTCCATACTACACCAGACCTGTTGATAGGAAGTGAAGATGACAGAATAGCTGAACAAAAGTTTTCTGACTCGCTTTCAATTCCAGAACCTCAACCTAACGTGACAAATGAATAAGCATTCGCGATTTATAAAAACCTTACGCAAGCAATAGGATATAAATTGTTTGTGGATTTAAAGATAGATTTTGAAGTCAATAGCATCAGTTTTCTGTTAAAAAGTTTAATGTAAAACAGCATCGTTCAAATTGTATTTCTCACATAATAGGAAGCAATAAAAACATTTTTCTTCCTGAACGTCTCCGCAAGTTTTTAATGGAAAACGCAGAGATTGCAACTACGATTGTTAAAACCGTATATGTTAGTCAATTAAGTTAAGCTGTTCAATAGTAACATTTGTATAATGCCGCTTCCAAGCATTTATCGTAAATACTCTCATTAGAAATTAAAAATTTACAAGATAATAAAGTAATATGGGGTGTGAATGTATAGGGAACGTGTCTAAAACATGTTGAAAGAAAGACGGTTTTCTCATTGTATTTACAAATTTGTGTGTATTTGTAATATGACATCAACAGACTTTTAAAAAAATCTGTTATTGATAAGCACTCAGAAAGTAAAATGTTGAATACTGCAAGGTAACGGCCGGATTAGTAACCAGCAAGCATAACAAAGGAAAATGCTCTCATTATTTCCTAAGCAAAATCTGACTTGCGTTTAAAAATTGGTACTAAATGTAATTCGTTTCATTAAATATTTCTGTAAATACAGTTCTTCTGCGGTTGATGCATAATAGCTTGGCCAATTACGTCAACTGCACACTTTGCACCTCGGCAGTGTTTACATACCCAATTCTAGTTTGCGATGTTTTATCAAACGACCGAACACATTTTATCTAACGATTTTTTTAACTTACGTAATAAGTGAGCTAACGTCTCATTCGCTTCAGAATGACAAGTGCATTTTCCAGGTCTGGAAGATGATACTAAATGTCAAGCCATCACTATTCGTCTTGGTAGGTCAAGCAAAACTGCATCGATTAAAAAAATCGCTTTGTACGTAATTTGTGTTTTATAATGTTAATTATTTGCAGCCATGCCAGAAATAATGCACTGCCGTATTTGTTTTTGTACTCTAATAAAATGGTAATGGTGAAGTAGATTTTAGTGCAAGCGCGTTAGGCAACCGTTGGCGTAGAAATTTTTCACGGGTTCTTTCCTTCAACCCTACCCGGCTTTGGGACTTACACATGTTTTAGTATGGTGATAAGACGGTAGATTATCACAGAACTGCTTCCATTATTCTAATACTGATTTAGGGCAAATTGACTACGGCCTAATTGCTGAAAGTTTGCAATGGAAATCTTCTACATCCTGTTCACATTTTCGATGGTACAGCAAAGAATACGTGTATCAATTTGCATGCGTTATTTTGGGCAGCTGATTATTAGAGTTGAAGAACAAGTTAAAGTTGGAATTTTGATGGTTAGCATCAAAAGCTAATGCTTTCTCGGTTACATTAATGCGCACATTTATTGCTGTATTTTTGTCTGGAAGTTGTAACTGTTTCTCTGTGTATATTTCTCCACTTTGTATCTATGTATTTAGTGACGTTTGTATGTTGAGCGAAATATATCACATTCTGAAAGCATCCAAACAATACATATAAAAACAATGTTTTGTGATCCCTAGAGGTTTTCGCTTATTTTATAAATTTATTTTGCCAGTGGGTACTCCTCGTTGTATTTAGTGTCTAATTTAGCGTTTTTCAGCAGAATGTATGAATAAAATACACCTGACTCAGGTTTATAGATATTGATTTAAATGCATTAAATTATTCAAGCATAAGCAAATATGTTGTAATAAAATGACAGAGGATTCACTATACTTTTATACTAAGCGATATAAATAACGGGTTAGAAAACATTTTTGTTGTCTACCGGGTCTTGCGTTTGGCTGCGTTTGTACCGGTAGAGTAGGTTTAATACTCAACTAACCCAGAAAAACAGCAATTGTTTTGGTTTAAGCTGTTATGATGCACTATATGCCGATCAAACTGGTGCATGAAACACTTCGGAATTTTGGACCTGTATAAATGTAAAGTTTTAAGCGAAGCGGTAGCAAACGTCTGCAATGCACGAGAATGCAATATCAGCCACTGCGCGGTGAAAGATTGGTTTATCATGGGAGAGTTGGTACTGCGCATGCCTACACCTTGGCTAGACACCCACTGCATCCCGGAAGTTCCGTAAAGGTTGTAGGCGCACTCTGACTCTGTGTTTTGAAGACTGTCGACAACACGGAGTGAATGAATGCAAACGGAGTACGTCTGCATTAGACACAAAGAGACAGCTTCTGTATTTTATCAGAGGGGGGGAGAGGTTGGCCAAGCCGTCTGGTGTTATGGGGGGGTGCCATGATGGGGCGGGGACTGGGGGGGGGGGGGGGTGTGGGGCTGCTTGAGAAGTTGGCGGGATGGAATCCGGGCCCATGGGGTGTCCGTATGCACAGGTAGGGCTGATGTGGACGACTGGGATAATGGTTCTGGCATGTAGGGGCGTGCTTCCCGGGGACACGGTATAAAAGTAGGGTGGGTAAACTGGAGCAGGGGGGTGGTCCTGGGGAGGGGGGGGGGGGGGGGGCGTGAAGCGAATGTTGGGAAGGGATCATGGGTGGTGCATGGAAATGTAAAAGGGGGATATTTGATGTGGTAAGTAGGCAGAGTGGATGGGGGATAGGGGGGGTTGGGGGGGGGAATAAACTTGCGTTGAATGTTATAGCGTGGAGGGGGGGGGGGGGGGGAATTAAGGGAGGGGGGTGGAGGGGGGGTTTTTTTTTGTTGTTTGGTGGGGGGGGGTGGGGATTGTGGTGAGGGGGGACGGAGTGGGTGTGGGGATGTATGTTATTTTTTGTGGGGGTGGTGGGGTTAGTGGGGGGGGGGGGGTGGGGTGGAATGGTGGGGGTTGGTGGGGTTAAGGGTTGAAGGAGTTGGGGGAAAGTGAATTAGTGTTTGGGGTAAGTGGGGGAGGGGGGGGATTGAGGTGTTTTTGAGGAGAGGGAGGAAAGGTTGGTGAGGGTGGAGTGGGGGGTTTGGATAATTAAGTATGTGAGGTGGGTGGGGGGGGGGGGGTTATAGGTGGTGGGGGGGTGGGGTTGGGGGTGTTGGTTGGAAATGGGGTTTAATTAGGGGTATGTTGAAGGGGAAGTGGAGGGAAGGTTGGGGTTGTGTGAAAAAGGTAACCGAGACCGTGAATAGTGGGGATGGAGTAAGAGTGAAACATAGGGGGTTGGAGGAATCTGTTTCGTTTTACATGTTCTGTCAGCTAATGAGGTAAGTTGGTTTATTTAATTTGCGTGTAGCCTCAGAAAATTTTGATCGCATCTGAATATTAGTTGGCAATTTGCCGGTGCACTGCAAGAAGATAAGGTCTTCTAATCTTTATCCGTGGCTGCATCCGTTTCGTTTGGTAAATGATTAGTAAAATACGTTATGTGGGACGATTAAAATACATAACCAGTGATTATTTACTTAACGCCTAATTTATATCATGTTCCTCTGGAGGGAAGCTGTGAGAGACCTGCTGTTTTATGTTATCAACTGTGTGGTATTAAAACAGCTTAAACTACAGAAAAAATAACCGCAGAGAAAAAGTTTATTTACAATACTGTTCTCCTCCAACCAGGATCCACCTTTAGATTTTTTACCAATCGTCCTATTCGTTTTGGCTTTTATTAAACTCTGTTAGCTGCAGGCGCACAAGGACAACATTTATGATTTGATTTAACTGATCCCCGTCTATTTGAAAAGGACCTTTCGGCGTTTAAAATAACTATAAGCAGTGGGATGAAATCGCAGCAGATTAGCACGGAGGAGATAAATATGTTACTAGCCTGGACACTGCAAATCACCATGCATCTAATCCGTAACCATCATGCCATTTTTCAGTTAATGCAGCATATTTGGTTCCAAACGGTAAGCACTGTGTTTAGCACATAAGAAATCTATCCCTTTCCCCATACCGCCTGTGCCATTACTTCTCCATCACTCTATTCCTACGATTTCTTAAAAGAGCATTAAAAGTTTACAAACCTAACTATTTTCTCAACTTTAGTCCATGAGGGAATAAAATAAGAAAATGGGTAAAGTTCTTGCACTCAGATTTTTTTTCATTGATGACTGTGCACTTTGATTTTCACCTCCATCCACCTATCCTAGCAATTAACACAAGTCCCAAATATTATTCGCTTTATTTTCATGACATTGCTATGTGATACTAACATATCTGTAAATAATCGTTTTGTCCGGTCGCAATTGATGTGTATCTAGTCATAAGTTCAGTCTTATGGGTTTTATACCAACGATGCCGTGAATACCATGTCAAAACCTCCCCATAATTCAGTACGGCTTGCTGTAATTAAACTATGATAAAATTTGGATGTGGGTTTTCATCTAGATCATTCGGAGTTAGGATGAATAGGTAATTTCCAGCTGCAAAATAAACACATTGCCTCACACTTCCGTTCTGCTTTCATTCAAGGAAACGTATAAACTGCTTGAGTAATATTACAAGTTATGTTCGGAGTGGCATGATAAACTTATTATATAAAGCAAAAAAATCATCAACCCACTGCACTCATTCCGTCAGCAAATCGGGAGCAAGCAGCAGTAAACCATTTCGGTGAATTCGTGTTCGTCGGGCTGTAAGGCAGTGAGCTTTATTCATCAACATTTGCGTAAATGCACATCGCACCTGGTTCGCCGCATCCGACGTACGCAGGAGGGGCTAATCGAAATGCTGCTTCTCTGTGTTAGATACGTCATTGCTGAGAACGGCAGTGCCATTCGTGCTACATTTTATCACGTAGTACCTTTCTCCCGTGCAGACACTGAGAATGTGAACGGGTTGTCCAAATCCACAGCACTGAAGCATGTGAAGGGGGCTGCGGTGTTTTAGACGGTTGATTGCCTTTAAGGATTCTGGATATACTGTGTCAACATACACTTACCTCTCAAATATTTCACTCTAAAGCAGTGAGCATGCAACGCCAGCTTTGGAAAAATTTCGTGCTGTTATTTTGCTATTACTATGCACACTTTAAGTATTTAATGTGAGCCTCGGCAATAATAGTCTCCATGACTTGTATATCACTGACAGGATAGTTATTAGTTGGTAGATAGTAGGATCTGTAGGGTTTTCCTTTTTTGAAGCGAAGGGTCCATTCGGTGCTTCCACATTGTGGAAACAAACAAATCGTCGAGACATTTCTGGAAGAACCTAGCTATGGGATCCGGCAACCATAATGTAGGGAACTCAAGCTTCCTTGGTAGGATATTGTCAGCACAAGAATTATGCTCGCGTTGGGACTTTATCTTATTCAGTATATCTGTAGCACTTAACGGGATGCGACGTGGGCCTGGCGTGGTAGAGCTTGAGAGAACCGTATAGCTGACTTAGCCTTGTGCTGGATGTTTGGATATAATTGAAGACGAAGTACTTTGGCCGGTTCCTTTTAGCTTGAGCCGGTGCTCATTTAATGCAAGTAGGAGAAATACCTTGACGCACGCAGTGGAGATTGATATCATGAATGTACGGACGCTTGCGATTTGAGGAGAATTTATTGGCTACATCCATTTGATGTTTTCGATTATCTTCGCGTACCGAATCTAGACAAATATGTAGCTGGATAGTTTAGGCCACAGATATTTCGATACGTGGTGACTGCTTGTATTTTCCTCATAGTGAGTCGATTGTGGCCATGCACTTATGAGTCTTGCTGCGTAACATTGTCTTTTCTTCCATTCCGTGTAGGAGCAAGTTTTTCGAAGCACTGGCTACTAATTGGTTGAACTGAGGAGAAAATTCGCAAAAGGCCACATTGGGGCTAGTTCTCTTAGTGAAAAACAAACATTTAAATTAACTTATGTGATCAGAACGGTGTAATCTATAATAATTTATGAAAAGTCGTCACTTTCTGGAGAATACTCTGCAAAAGTTATGTAGTTGTACGAGAGGTTGCTTGATTGCTGTGGCCCAAGTTTACTAGCTTCCGATACCGTGTCAATCATACGCTTCTCTTTAGTGAACACGAGGTAGAGAATAATCTTTTTGTTCCCTGCCCAAAATATTGTAAGGACTGGTACGTGCTTGTACTTTGACAAGCCATACATTATCTCCTGCAATTACCTTTTCTATTGCTCTGCCAGAGAGAGTGGGCTTTCTAGGATGTAGAGAGTAAAGTCCCCATTCATTAGGATGTGACAATGTGCCTGTGCGAGCATAGTGTCCTTAGTAGAAAGTAGGATATTTGCCATTTATGACGTTGATAAAGTCGGGCGGTACAAGATACCCAATAAACATTTGTCACCACGACATGGATGAAGAGAACATAAAAGCGCTTCCACAATCTGGATATCTAGTGCTTCCATTAGATCAATATGTAGCTCATTGCGTTAATATAAAGGTACACTGCATTTTCTGTTCGGCCAGTCGTTGCACAGAACAAGTAGTAACATTTGACTCTATGTGATAAATTTACAGACCACAGTCTTGGTAAACATAATGGGGTCACGCCACCTCGGATGATGGCGAAACCGAAACACTTGCTATTACCTGAGAAGGACTTTAGCATTAGTATAACAACAAGGGTTTCTTATACTTCAAAATTCTGTTGGTGGACTTCATATTTATGTTTAGTTTAAAGCCATCCTTGTGTTCGCCGAACGCTAAACGTTCTTCTGCGTATGACATTGTTTCTTTAATTTCGGTTACATGGTATGTTGGCATTGAGCGCTTCAGATTGCAATGTTCTGTCTTGCATATCTCTTCTTCGTCATGCACCTAATGTCGCTTACCTAATACAGATCAGTACTGTGAAGGCAAACGTTTTACTAAAGCTACAGTTTCCAATGAAGTGTTGCACGGTCGCGACGGTACGCTACTCCCTATAGCCTAATACGGGTGGTAACCTATAACAATGCTTTAACCATCTGTCCGATATGACCCAGATGCACGGAAAACGATGGCATTAGGGGTAGTCAGAGAGAAACAGGCCGCTGTTTTCCTAAAAGGTCTTACTAAGTGCACAAAAATGAAAGCTATACCGCTCGTTATTCAGAATGCTTTTTCAGTCTACTGCGTAACGTGCCCCGTAATTTACGCATCCATCCATGTGATTGATCAAGAACTGAATATCTTAGAGGAAGCAAGTTTAATTTATTCACTAAATTATTCCGCTTGAGCAAATCCTGTCGTAATTGTTCTAAAGCGCAACAGTCAAATTCGAATGACTGCCAATTTGTTGACGGGCTTGAAACATGCATTGCACGATCATGCGCATCCGCTTCCATTTTCGGTAAACCTACATGCAAAGTTCAATGATGGTAAGTAATTTGTAAATTTTGATAAAGTTTAATTATAAAGTCGCTTTTCAACATGCCTGGCTTTTCTCCGCAAGCTTACAAACGCATTGGTTTACATTTCGAGTGATACATTAGCAAATGTACCGCCTTCTTTTATAATTGACCAAAGGCATACTGTTTTAGGAGCAAATTACCTAATGCTTAGTTTAGTTATCTAAATCAACTGAAAATATTGACTATTTTTGGGATAATTGAAACCACTGTTGGCTCTATAAATAAGGCTATCTTAAATTTTCCCGGCACGCTTGAATAGCGATTGGCGCAATGCGATTTCAAAAATACTTCTAAATTTTGCGTATCTGACTTATCGAAACAAAGTAGGATATGTTCCATCTGTTGGCCATCAGTTTGATTCGTGGTACCTGCTCGAGTAGGTGACTAAACTGATGTGGCTCATTCGAAGGGATAATAAGCTTTTCGTAACCTACAAACTATACTAATTTGTCACATAC